GTAGTAGTAGCAGTAGTAGTAGTAGTAGTAGTAGTAGTAGTAGTAGTAGTAGTAGTAGTAGTAGTAGTAGTAGTAGTAGTAGTAGTAGTAGTAGTAGTAGTAGTATAGGGGGTCACGAGAAGATGGCATAGAGAAAACGACCACCGCGTGCCTGGCATAGGGGGTCACAAGAAGATGGCATAGAGAAAATGACCACCGCGTGCCTGGCACTCTGACATTTTCCAAAAAAAATCGCACAAATGGTTGGCATCCGGGTCCGGGAACTCCGGTGCAGTCAGCCACAATTTCACGCACAAGTGGATGGCACACGGATTTTTTCTTGCGCAGGTCTGCACGGATCGTTTAGGCGCGCAAATGGCAAGCAATCACCGTTGAGCCTCATATTTCCACCCTCCCCCCGACCCCCGCTCGGGATGGCGTCTCTGAACCTGCAAGATGAGGGTGGAGGACGGATCTTGGCCAGCGCTTGGATACAGCCTCGTTGAAAGTCTGATTGCGCCACCGCCGCCCCACACATACACCGAAAAACACATCCCTGCCAACTCGAGACCCACAGCGTTGGGGCCTCTTCTCTTACCTGTTCCTGCTGGCACAAAGGATGGCATCTCTGAACCCGCAAGGCTCTTCCCCCTGCCCCACTCGACCTGGAAATGGAGACCCCAACCGACTGTTGTGGTCGCTGCGGGTGTACAGTTTGGTGGGGATGTTTTTATGTGTGTATGTGTGGGGTGGTGGTGGTGCCGTCAGATTTCCAAAAAGGCTGTATCCAAGTGCTGACCAGGACCCACCGCTTCCTCCACCCTGACAGCTTGCGCCAAAACAAAACTTTGCGGGTGCAGAGATGCCATCCTTTCGTGCCAGGAGGGCCTCCTTGAGAATCTGATTGCACAACCACCACCGCCCCCACAAAATCCCCCACAACTCGAGACCCACCCACAGCGTTGGGGCCTGTTCTCTTACCTGTTCCTGCTGGCACAAAAGGATGGCATCTCTGAACGCACAAGCCTCCTCCCCCCCCCACCCGACCTGGAAATGGGAGCAGGCTGTGAGGGTGGAGGAAGTCTGTTGGTCCTGGTCAGCACTTGGATACAGCTTCCTTGAAAATCTGAGTGCGCCACCACCACCCCACCCGCCTTCGGGGTGAAGTCGGGTGGGGGCAAGGCAAAACAAGTGCTGACCAGGACACTCACAGCCTGCTCCCCTTGCACAGGTCGGGAGGGGCGGGGAGAGTCTTGCGGGTTCAGAGATGCCCAACCGACTGTTGTGGTTTCTGTGGGTATATAGTTGCGCATGCGGTTCAGAGATGCCATGCTTTTGTGCCAGGAGGAACTTGGATACGGCCTCCTTGAAAATCTGCTTGCACCGCCACCGCCCCACGCATACACACACCAAAAAAAAACATCCCCCAGAGACTCACAGCGTTGGGGCCTCTGGCACAAAAGGATGGCATCTCTGAACCCGCAAGTTCCTTCCCCCCCCCCACCCGGAAATGGGAGCAAGCTGTGAGGGTGGAGGAAGTCTGTGGGTGGTCAGCGCCTGGATACAGCCTCGTTGAAAGTCTGATTGCACCACCACCCCACACAGACACACACCAAAACAACATCCCCCGCAACTATATACCCACAGCGACCACAACAGTCGGTTGGGGCCTCTTAAATTCTTATCTTATCTGTTCCTCCTGGCGCAAAAGGATGGCATCTTTTGAAACCGCAAGACTCTGCCCCCCCCCCTTCACGTGACCTGGAAATGGGATCAGGCTGTGAAGGTGGAGGAAGCGGTGGGTCCTACTCACCACTTGGATACAGCTTCCTTGAAAAATCTGATTGCGCCACCACCACCCCACACACACACACCAGAAAAACATTTCCCACAACTGTATACCCGCGACCGCAACAGTCGGTTGGGGCCTCTTCTTTTATTTGTTCCTCCAGGTCCTGGCGCAAAAGGTCTGAGGCCACAAGACCCCCCCCCCCCCCACCGGGCTTGAGGGTGGAGGAACAGGTGGGTCTTGGAAAAAAAAGCTGATTCGCCACCACCCCCCACACATACATACAACAAAACATCCCCCACGACTATATACCCACAGCAGCCGCAACAGCTTGTTGGGGTCTTTTCTCTCGTGGCACAAAAGGATGGCGTCTGTGAGGCTACAAGACCCTGCCCCCCCCCTCCCCCCCTGAGTTCTGTCTGGGTTCCTCAAACCCTGCAAGCCCACCACATCTCGGTGGGGATCAGGGCCTCCCACCCGCACAAAAGGCTGGCATACCGATCCCGGGGGCACCGCCCCCCGAATCACGCACCAATGGATGGCATACTGATTTTTGGGCCCATCCATGTGACCAAGACTGCGTGCCAACAACTCGTGCGGGGCTCATCGTGCCATCTTCTTGTGACCGCCTATAGTAGTAGTAGTAGTAGTAGTAGTAGTAGTAGTAGTAGTAGTAGTAGTAGTAGTAGTAGTAGTAGTAGTAGTAGTAGTAGTAGTAGTAGTAGTAGTCGTAGTACTCGTAGTACTAGTAGTAGTAGCAGCAGTAGTAGTAGTATTAGTAGTAGTAGTAGTAGTAGTAGTAGTAGTAGTAGTAGTAGTAGTAGTAGTAGTAGTAGTAGTAGTAGTAGTAGTAGTAGTAGTAGTAGTAGTAGTAGTAGTGGTACAGATAATAATAATAATAATAATAATAATAATCGCGACTCCCCCCCCCCTCAAAAAAAAAAATAATCGCGCCCCCCCCCGCCCCCCCCGTAGAACCCCCGGTAGTCATAAGGGGGGTTACAATATAAACCAACCCCCCCCCCCCCCCGCTAAAAAAATTCTTCGCCGTAGTTGTAGGTAGTAGTAGTAGTAGTAGTAGTAGTAGTAGTAGTAGTAGTAGTAGTAGTAGTAGTAGTAGTAGTAGTGGTAGTGGTAGTAGTAGTAGTAGTAGTAGTAGTAGTAGTAGTAGTAGTAGTAGTAGTAGTAGTAGTAGTAGTAGTAGTAGTAGTAATGGTGGTACTATATAATAAGAATAATAATCGCGACCCCCCCCCCCCCCCCCCCCCCTCAAAAAAAAAACAAAAAAAATAATCGCGCCCCCCCGCCCCCCCGGAGAAACCCCGCGGTAGTCATGAAGGGGGGTTACAAATGAAAAACCCCCCCCCCCCCCCCCCCGGCCTTAAAAAATTTCTTCGCGTGTGCCCTCTGAAAAAGCTCTCACCTTCAGGCCTGTGGCCTTTTACCCTTGGCCAGATGTCGTGAGCAAAGTTTCGCGTGTGCTGAAATGGGCTCATGTGGGTCTCAGGAAGCACGACACTACGTATACTTGCAGCGCAGAAAACTTCAAGATGCTACAGCTGCCTGGAAAGACCTTCTCGGCGACCATCTACCTGCCCCTTTGTCCAGCGTCAGCCTTTTCTATGTCTTGAGGGCCTTGGGACTCTCGACTTCCCCCTCCCCCGCGACGCCTCTAAAGGCAAGCCCAGAACAATTCTTCGGACATTGAAGCAACTGGCCCCAAGTCAGCAAAGGAACGGGGCCGGTTGCGGCTGCAATGCTGCTTGACCAGTCGTGGCGTTGTCAGACTTTCTAGGGCCCTTTGCAGCACAGCTTCGCGAGTGTTGCTCGCGCATCAGCTGCGTGAGCTCCGTCTCGTGACGGGGGTCGCTGAGGTCGGCTTTTACTTGGTGGCCATGCCGGCATGGCCACCAGGAGCCTTGTCTGCGAGAGGAGCAGGATGAGGCGTTTTAGAACCTTCGTCCCCTCCCTCCGGATGTTTGGGATCCTCCTCACCCTGGTAACCGTCATTTTATGATGTGATGGTATGTGGGCAGGTTGCTTGCTACGGTGATCACCACCTAAAGTCTAAACCGTAACCCCATAAAAGGGAATCCTGAGGTGACTTTTCGGACTGCTACTGCGATGCCAACTGTGAGGGTGAAAACTGCTGCAACGAGCCTGAGCTGAGAGTGTGTGGAGTTTAGGGTTTAGGATGTCAGGTTTAGGGTGTACAAACCTAAACCTCAAGCCCCAACCCTGCTTGAATTCTAAGCCCGAAAGGGAGAACGTCCGTGGAGGGACCCAGCAAGCCAGGAGTTTGACCTGAACAACATGAACACTCACGCGCTACAGGCCCAGTACAAAGCTTCTCAGTTCCATGCCTAGAGCGGCCTAGCCAAAAAAGGAGTTTGGAGCGTTTGCACCTGTCTTGTGCTTCCGCCCAACCGTCAAGAATCTTTGAGCGCGGTCGTGCGTTGAACCAAACCGGGTCAAGAAAAGGTCGCACCTTCAGACCTCAGCTTGCAAGGACTGAATCGTAGTTGCGCGAGGATTGCAACGAACCTGCCTGCTAAGCCCTTAACCCTTTTAAAGCCTAAGCCTGGAGGTCACGAACCATCTCTGTGGCGACCCACCGACGCGCTGGAATTGCAGCGCCAATGGAAGCCCCGTCATGAGGCCTCTGAGCTGGGAAGGTTTGCTTGCGTCGAGGCTTTTGGGTATCGAGCCAGCGGCTTGTGGGTATCGAGCCAGCTGCCAGTACTCCCCTCCAAATAATTTCAACAGGCCGATGAGGTCCCTCATCTGAGGTTTCGTGATCTTTTCCCTGAAGTTGCCCTCCTGCCCGCCAAATTGGCAGCGCTTGCTTCGGATGACCCTTCAGATTGCAGAGATCTAATTTTGTCCGTTCCCTTTCCTCACACCACCCCGATCCAAGATTCACGACGGCATTGTTCGGTCCGGGCAATGCGAACACCATCGACACCGAGCACCCCTTCAACTATTCCGTGCCTTGGGCGTCGCCTACAGTCTACTTCAACAGTCAGCGTTTGAGGCCAAGGGTGTTTAGCATCATCATGCAGCCCATAGCCCACTGCATCCCCAAGCTCCCTTTGCACTCTCGACCCAACGCTAAGACTTCGAAGCCCGTCTTGGTGCGGAGGTCGGATTGTTTTTCACTGCCACCAACGCCTGAGCCAAGGTCCAATTTCGAGAGACCGACTCGGAGAGCGTCCTTGTGACGGTCCAGCAGGCCCTCTTTGCCAGTCCTAAAACCCTACGGAGCCTTCAAGGAGCCTCCAAAGTCGGCGATATGGACTTTGGCTTGCCATAAGAGTAACATGAGAATGATACTTGGTCGTCTGGGTCTCGGCGTTGACGGCAAGCTTTGCACAATGCTGCTGCAGGGGGAGAAGGTGATCAGCAACACCATGGCCAACAGCGCTCTGAGCAGAACCTCGGCTGGCGTTTAAGCCCTGGGCCGAGGTTCGAGCATGCCCAGTGTCTGTGAGACGGAGACTGACACGGGGACCCATTGAGCAAACTTTCGCTGCGACGTATCCTGAGAGAGACACGCTCAGGGCTCGTGCGCTCGCTTGTCAAGCCCAAGGCATGTGGCCGCAGCTCTCCAGGGGAATGGTCTTGGTCTTCGACTACTGGGAAAGCATCTTTCCTGACAGGCTGACAATCTTGATGTGATGTCAAGCAGAATTCCCATTGATAGGTTGCTGAGTCCGAGGCATCGACCTGACCTGGCTGGATGCTCCCTCCTGCCAGGCAGTGCTGCTCAGACCCGCACAGTAGTTGGGTACCTTTTCCACTAAGTCGCCAGGGAGAATGCCGCTTGCACCGAGCGTAGACAAACATGTCGAGCCAAAAGCACAGTGTCTGTCGCAGCAAGTGCGCCTCTTTCAGAGCAGCGGATTTGAAGACACAAAGTTTCCTGACATTCGGATGTTCTCCTTGCCGCAGCTTTGGGGTGCGCAGCCTGCCCCAAGTGTCCCGGTCATTCAGGTACCATCGTACTGCTCCGGCAACAAGGCTGGAAAGGGCTTTGGGTATCGCCCGTCCATTGCAGTTGCTTGCACTCCTTGGGGAGTTGATCTCCAAAGACCAGTCTCTTTTGCCGGGCATGTGAAGGCGAGGTCTGAACCATTGCCTTGCGAGTTGTAGGCTTTCCCCACACGGCAGCAATGGCAACCAGATCCCGATGGCACCCAGTCCCTGAAAGTCATGGAAGGTGCAGGTCTCCAACGTACACATCACCACGAATGGGTTGAACACAACGCTACCAACGGCACACTCTGTACAGTCCTGGCATACTGCCACTTCCCCATGCACGGCCACGGCCGCTGCCCCATGCACATAGTGCGAGGGCTCAGCTAAACGATGTATCGGAAGCCAAACCCCCAAGATGCCGCGCACAGAGAGTGGATGCTCTTCGTGGCATTGTTCCACAAGCGAACGTGTTGAGCCAGTAACGCAGGGACATGGTTTGCTTGTAGAGTTGGGTCGACAAGAAGTTCAGCAGTGCGAGTGAAAGAAGCTGGATCAGGGTTCTAGAGAAGCAAAGCATGAGTAGCACGCCTCCACCTAGTCAATCACCCCAAATCCTAAACCTCCAAACTCCAGTAACCCTGAACTTCTGAAGCCTGATCGCTCGAAGAAAGAGAGGCATCCTTGACCCCGGGGTGCCAACGAAAAAAGGGTGAACTTTGGAGTTTTGGGGGTGCTTGCGGTTCGAGGGTTGCAAGCCCTGAGTCGAAGACTTCGAGTTCAGCCTGAAGGCTCCGGATTCTGGAGTGCTTGTAGGTTTAGGGTTTAGGGTTTAGGGTTTAGGGTTTAGGGTTTAGGGTTTAGGGTTTAGGAGCTTCTGTGCTTGCATTGCCACGCGCCCGTGCCCGCAGCCGTGTTTCTTTTTGTTGGCCGCCCAGGGCTCCCATCCGCTTGGGGAAAGCTCCCCGAAGCTCAGGTTAGGGCCCGCAAGGGAAATTCGGGAACACTGATACCTTTTGCTCCATGTCGTATCTTGTTCTGACATACATACTTTTATACATCTACATGAACATGATATAGAAGTACTGATTTATGTGCACAAGTACTTTTGTACAACTGAGAGGCATGACGCTCTACCATTCGGGCTTCTAGTGCTGAAGCACCTGAACACAAACCCATCCCCCCCCAAGACTCCCAAGACCCAGCATTCGCCAAGTTTACCACAAGCCCCTCGGCCTTCTCCGTGCCGACGCGTTTCGAGGCATGGAGCGGCTGAAAGCTGGCTCCATGATTCCATTTATGCCCCCCCGAAAGTCCCTGAAGCCCATGTAGAGTGATGCAGCCTCTTTCCCTGCGGATGGTGTTCTTTTTCACGATTTCACGTCCTTTCCGGTGTGGCGTGCTTTTGCCGTCGCAGGCATAGGGATGGGGGAGGGCTTGGAGACTCCTGTCAGGGGTCCAGACATCTGTGACCGTCTCCTGGCTTAGCTGCGCCAAGGTTACGAGAAGTTCAGGGAGGCCAAAGGCCATCTTCTGACCGAGGCTGCCGAGGCCTTGAGCCTGCCTGAGTCATTGGAATCTTGTATGGGCACGCAGGCATTGTGAGACTCGCTTGAGTTGTGCCTTTAGAAAGGCGTCTGGTTCTCTTTCAAGACCTTTCAAGCTCCGCGTGGCATGTTCCCCCCCCACCCCAACGGTCAGGCCGCCGTACCAGTGATGCAGAAGTTCATGCCAGCCGTGTGGGTCTCGGGCACTTGCTCTTTTTGGTTGGGGATTTGATGGGCTTGTTTGGTGACACCACGAGGGGTCAGGCGAAGATTTGAAGGCCCAGCATCTATATGCTCATGTCCTTCCAAACTTCTTCCCGCTCCTATGTCCCGAAGTAGGGGTACTCCAAAATTCTCCAAAATTTTCCCCAAACTCGTCATCCTTACTGTCGTAACTTGCAGGTGCACGGGCGGCAGCACACCATTGCCGGCCGCGGCCCTGTCAGCGCCGGCTTCAGGGGGAGTCAGGGAGCTTCAGGCGCTTGGCTTGCAGCGTTCTTTGTGGCATCTGGGGGGTGGATCGAATCTCACTCTCGCCATGCTGCGCCTCAGGCCAAAGAATGAGGCCCCCTGCATGGCAGCCCCTTGAGACTGCGCTCTTCAAAGACCATGCTCCCAAGGTCGTTCCGTGACAGAGCTGCGTCAGATCAGCGAGGGCGGCTTTGCTTTCGTCTGGCTCGCCGAGACCTGAGAAATAAGCGCTGGGAAAAGCCCTAGACCCTAAACCCTAAACCCTAAACCCTAGACCCTAAACCCTAAACCCTGTGAGCTTGGGGGGCACCTTCGGTTGCTTGGATTCTCAGGTCCAGGATGCCCGAAGCAATGAGGACGGCTGAAATGTGGGGACTTCATGCCCCGCAAAACTTCTGAATGAGAGCACATGTGCCTTTACCCTTATTTGGGGAAGTACCCACATCGGCAAGAATCAGCCCTAGACCGTAAGCCCCCCAGATTCGCAGTGCATGGGAAGGGGCCCAAGTCTTGAGGGGAGAGCCGTTCTGGCATGGTAAATGTTTCTGGCTTGGTCGTTCAACCGGGAATTGGCTCTACGCGGAAGAGTCTCACTTTGACGGCTTTGAGAGGATGTTGCAGGTTGGGATTCAGGGGCTCCCAAACGACACTGGGGTTTAAAGCCCTGAACCCTAAACCCAGAACCCTAAAACCCCTGAAGGCCCGAAAGGCCCCAAGTCAGACCCCAACTCTTCGAACCTGTGAGGAGCTGGTCCTGAAAAAGATCCGCTGTCAGGAGTCCCCTTTAGATCTTGCTGCTGGCTGCTTCAATGTAAGCCCTACACCCTACACTCTACACCCTACACCCTACATACACCCTACACCCTACACCTTACACCCTACACCCCACACCCCACACCCGACACCTTAAATCCTACACCCCACACCCGACACCCTAAATCCTACACCCTCTAAGTGCCCCCAAGCCTCAAGCAAGTTGTACCTCGCAGCTTCCTGTGCCGTGGCCTCTTGGCGACAGCTTGGATGCAGGACTAGAGCCGGAAGGTTTCCGTGCAGGGAGTTCGCGCTCAGGGGTTACTTCACCCCGGCCCTGAACCCCCACATTGAGCTGCAAGGACAAGTCGTCTTTTGCCATGGCAAGGCGTGAAGTTCAGCTGCGCGGCTGGCCTGTGTTCCAGGCTGCAGGATCCCAGATCCTTTGAGGGTTTGGAGGTTAGGGCCTGTAAAGCTGACCATCCGATGACTTCAGCAGATGGAGAGTCATATTCTAGAGGGCTCCAATTTTTGTGGTTGGGGTAACCGGGTTGCCATGTAGGATTCCCCTGTTTTGGATTCCAGGCTGGAGAGACTACCGCAGCATCCAAACTTGGTCCAGTGAACCTTGCCAGTCCTTTGGGCGCAGGGACCACGAGATGACTTTCACTTCGCAGTTGATCAGAATGACAAGAAGCACCTGAAGACATATCGCCGCTACATGTCAGGAGTAGTGGTCGCAGAGCGTGACGTATGTCGTAGATGTCAGGCTGACGTTGACGCACTTGCAGATTGTGTTGACTGTCGATTTGCAACCCCTCAACCCCAACTCCCCCAACCCTGAGCAATCCCAAATAGCGCAGATTGAACCAAGGCACCGTGATCGGTTGCGGGTAGGGGGTTGAGGTTCATGCAAATGATAGGCAGCGCTTTTTTCTTGGCTTGGCTGCATCAACTCTCAGCAGAAAGCCGGTGCGTGCAGGTACTATGGCGACATTATCTTGACGGAGGGAAAGACCAGAGAGGCGGACCCAGTGGGCTTGTGCTGCTATGACGTCTGCCCCTGGCTTTCTGGAGGTCTTTTGGGGGACTGTTCCCGGTAGCCTTGGGGCGCAAGTGCCTCTGCCCTAACGGCCCACAAAACTTCCCTTGAAAAGTAGTAGTATTGTGGGGGGCTGCACATCATACTTTACTTCTTTTCATGCAAAAAAAACACACAAGATAGATATAAATTTTGAGGTGTTTTGGGGGCAATACTAGTACACATAAGAACAATACTAATATTAGAAGGGCGCATATTTTGCTTTTACTTCCTGCCTGCATAAAATTCATTTCGTTCGTTTCATAAGAAGCGTGCTTTCCTGAACTTTTTTTGTATTCACTTCGCTTCATTGCCATTAGTTTTTGTCTGGAGATAGAAAGGAGCTAGAACGCAGGAAACGCCCTCGCGAAGCAACCAATGAGCGAAACAAACCAATCATAAGATCTGTAAACTTGTGAATGAAGAAAACTCGTGATGGAAGTTTCCTATTCAAGGGTGACTTCGTAACCGCCTGGATAGAAGATCTGCCTCATCTAAGGGATGGGACGTAAGCTAAGGCACTGAACGATCATCAGCCTGCAGTTGCTGTGGTGGCGTAGCCTGCAGGTCGGCCTGCTCTTTGAGTTCTGCTCAGGGGGGCACCTCCTACATTTCCTCGACAAGCACGAGGCAAAGATGCCTCGGGAGATAGCCGAGGAGAGGGCCTCTTAGGGCTTCAAAGCCCTCCGGCGAACGTGGTTTTTGTAGAACACCCGAAAGCTTTGACTGAGAGTTGACATCAGGGGAAGCTCTCCGAGAAGCTGATTGTCCAGACCTTGTCTGAAGTGGTGGCGGCCGCCAGCTCGGCTCATCCCAACCCTCAAACAGCCTGCCTTTTCAAAGGCACCAAGAAGACCCTCTCAGTTAAATCAGAACTGTGTATTCTTCCACATGTCACTCTGGTGGCAGCATGTACATCACTCTCCTTCCGCAGGATTAGTATGGGGCACTCGCTTCCTTTGGCTCAGGGCGTCGCCGTGCTGCACAGCTTTCTGCCTCCGGTACAACATCGCGACTTAAAGGTTGCACCCCCTTTTGCTGGTTCTTGTGCCCGGCATGGTGTCCTGGTGCGGCGTTGCCCTTGTCCACATGGCGGAGCTTTTGTTGGCGGGTGCAAGCCTTGCTTCGCAGGTCGAGAACGTGCTTCGAGGCAGCGATGGGCACTGGAAGCGGCTTAGCCGCATTGTGTGGAAGTCCCCCCCCTGCGCCCCTGCCCCCCCCCCCCGCCCACGCACGACGCCCCTGAAGCCACCTTCGACACCCCGGCTTGTACTTGAGATTCAGGCTTTTGCAGGCTTTGAGGTTCAGGGTTCCTGCCTCAGGTTGTTGACTCCTTCAAATCCTTTCCTCAGAGCCTCAGCTCAAGGCTCCTAGACTTCGGATCATGGAGCGATGAGTGTGCGGCGCCCCAGGTCTTAAGTTTAAGGAAGTTAGGTGTTGAGGTTTTTTTAGCTTCAATGGTTCAAGGCTTAGAAGGTGCAGGAGTTTAGGGCTCGAGGCCTGAGGCTTCAATGCTTTGGCCCTGGGTTCGGTCAAGAAGATTCAGGGGTTGGGGTCAGCTCCTCGGGCGGCTTGAGCAAACTTCAGTCTTCACCTCTTCACACCCAGACCCAAGGGGAAACCTTGACATCTGAAGGCCTCGAGCCAGGGACCATGGACAAGCCCGCGCTGTCGGCCCTCCAGGCACCGCTCGCATCCCAGCTTCTGCAGGTTGCCCCGCCCAGGGCGTTTGTGCATCAGCTTCCATCGCTCGCCGATTCTTAGTCAGGAATTCGGGATCTAGGGTATCGAGCATAGTCCCTCGGTCTTGAATTCCTTGGGGTTCGGTCCAACTTTCGGAGAATCGACTCCCTAGAGCAAAGGAGGCCTTGACAGCTGGGAAAGGGCGCCGTGATGCGCCCCTAGAGCAGGAGGAAATGATCGCAAGGAAGACTCCTTAGGGCCGAGTATCCGTCACCCAAGCCAGGAGCAGATAGACAAGTACACCACGATGATCTACCGGTCCTCTGCTGAGCTGCGTGCATCGGGGGCTTGCCTTTTGCTGGTGAAGGTCCGGGACGACACGTTCGACCTAAAGTATGGGCCCTGTGGAGTATCCACAATGATACAGTGATAGAGAACCGATCACCTCAGATCCCGCAGCATGAGGCTTCCAAGCAGGAAGCCATGTCAACACTCATGCGGGCCTTCCGACTTAGCCAGCTTATTGGACAAACCTGCAGAGAAAGCTCATTCAACCCCGAGCCCCAAACCCCAAGCTCCCAAACCCCTAAACCCCAAACCCTTGACTCCAGGTTTTCAGGGCCCCGAGTGCTCCAGTCTTGAGGGCCTTCCCGGAGTGATCCTGATCCCCAAATCCCGAAACCCCAAATCCCTAAGCGCCTGAATCTCCGAATCCTACCCGCCTGAACCTCTAAACCCCGAAATTCCTAAACCCCAAATATCCACAGACCCTGAAACCGAGTCCACCGGAGATGGTTGACTTCTACGCCGAGTCGGGGGGCCTAAGGACGTTGAGGGTCTGAGGTTAAGGGGTATACAGGAGCTTGCGCTTTGCGAAAGTGCATGATGTAGGGTTTTGGGCTTAGGGGTTTAGAGCTTCCGAGGGGTTTAAGGCCCCCTCCTCTTCGCAGAAGTGAACTTCGGGGAGGGGTCGCGCCGAGGTTTCCGATTTCTGAGAAGGTCGACGTGTGGATGATCGGCTGCATCCTCTACACCTTGATGTTCTACAGGCTCGCGACCGCGCCATTGAGAGCCCTGAGCCTGCGGTTTAGGGTTTATAGGGTTTCGGGTTTAGGGTTTAGGGTTTAGGGTGTATGGTTTAGGGTTAACATTCATAAAATATGTATTGTGAACCCCAAAAACTTCCTGAAGGTTTTCTGGGCAGCCTGCCAGGCATCCCTTTCAAGATGAATCGCCTTTGGCCATTGCCAATGCTCGTTTCCCCTGGCCGCCGGGGCCCATGGTTTGCGTTTGTCTGGTCTTGAAGGCTACAGGATCTGCAAGCTTGAGGGTCCTTTTGTTACGGCGCATTTTCGTGATTCGTGCCGATTGTTCAGTACTGGGACGTTCGGTATTCAAGGTTGTTCATGTCCGTCTGTTGCTGACCAAGCAGACCATAAAAAGTCTTCAGGTCCATGCCGGAGCACTCCGACAAGCTGCGAGATCTCACGCATTGGCTCCTGGCAAGGGACGGTGTCGGGTTCGGAGCTTCAGACCTTTTTTTTGCGTATGCGGCGATGCGAGCAGCCCGTAGATGCCCCCAACGACGCCGCAACGATGCGAAGAAACCCGCAGAGCAGCGAGGAGCCGCGCGCCAGCTTGTGCTTCGCTGTGTCTCTGCAGGACCCCAGCCACCGCCCGGACACGGTCACACTCCTGTCGCTTCTCCTTTGCTTCGACGAAGCCGAGGTAAACCCGTCCAAGCCTGAGTCGCTCAAGTGGCGCCTAGGTCTTAGGGATCCTCAAAGTTCTGTTTGCCTTGCAGATCAGGGTTTAGGGAGCTCAGAAAGCGGGAAGCGCCTTCTAGGAGTTGGGTTGCCCAAACACTGCGAGGCCCCGACCCGTTCTCGAGAAGTCAGAGAGAATTCGGCGGCTTTACGAGCCCACGGGGAAGGAGCGCGAAGTCGTTTGCGCGGGGGCTGACTGGCTAAGGTTACTTCGCTTTTCCTTTCAACAGAGCAGGATATTAAGGGTTGCACAAGTGGGTTGAACAAGTTGAAGGCGGGGGGAGTCTGTGAGTTACCACTGCCGGTGCTTCTGCACAGTGATTATCATGCTTTTCTGCCCCCCCCCCCCCCCCAAAAAAAGAAATAGAAAGAAGTGCGTTTCCGTGGACTCCGGTGTTGTCCGGCCCTTCTTTGCGCCAGTCTTGCCGAGAGCCGGCGTCGCCGGTGTCGCCGAGAGTGGGCGACACAGGCAAGGATCTGAGGGATCTTGGGGCCCTTTGCCCCAGGCTGGATTCTTTCTAAATGGGGGGCTTGCAATGCTAATACCTAGATCGGGTTGGATCTCCCAGCAGCAAATTTCAGCATGTTGAGGCAGCAGCGATGCCGTGGCCGGCGACGGTGAGAGGAAGCGGTCCGGATCGTAGTTGGCTGTGGTTGCCGCTGAAGGGCTGTGTTTCCATCATGCCTCTTTCAAGGAAAGTCATCTAGCCTTCAATCAGTCCAGGATCACATGGCATAGCGTCTCACGTACAGAGTCTTCTGCTTCGGAGCAGGAATCTAGAGATATCATAACTGTTGACCTATACAGATGGTTTGGCAAGGCGTACGAATAATGAGGATTGGGGGGGGGGGGGGGGGTTGTGGGACAATGACACTTTTCCCTGGCAGGTCCAAATCGCACAAGCACCGGCAGGCCTCCAAGAAGAAGGCCGAGAGGGGACTCTACAGATAGGTCTTGAGGGATACTGCTCTGGGGCTGTCAGGGCGGAGAATTCCGAGGTTTCTGTTCAACTCTTGCTTCATGGAAGCTCCAAAGGAGCGGTCTGAGGCAATGAAGTGGAATACAAGATAGCATGATCGAACATACAATATTAATCTTAAAGCTACGCCTCGGCCAGAGCTGCCCAGCGGCGAGGCAACCCAAACCGGAGATCGCAGGTGTGAAGGTGCTGTTAGGCTTCAGGGCTTCGAGAGGCTTCGGGCAATCCCAAGAAAAAACAAGTGCCAAATAACGGGGTGCAATCTGGGCACGAGCCGTTGGGGAGGGGATTAGCGTTGGGGTACCTTCTTTATGCTACACAGGCACCTACGGGCCGAGGCCGGCGGATTTCATTAGACAAATTCATGAATAAATGGAGAACAACCTTAAACAAATGACAGCATGTATATGTATATATGTATATATGTATATATATATATATGTATCATATATATATATAGGCCAAACAACACAAACAAATTCATATTGCGACATTGTATGCTACGGGCTGCTCGCGTAGAGGTGAAAAGGTTCCATGTGCGGCATCTGAGTAATTAATCCGCAAGACCTGAAGTACCAATCTTGTTTCATGAGTAGGCTGATACAAACATCATATACAAAAACACACCTGTGCTGTGTAAATATTCGTATTCGTGTATGGAGTGTATATTTTTATTCATTTATACATACGCGTAGAATAGGTATGAATACAATACATAACATAATTGACACGTACACGGCATGCCTTTCCATGTCACAAGCGTTGAATGCGAGTGCACAAATGAGAAAGCTGAGAGACACCAGGCAGCAGCCGAGGCACTGCCGGATGAGACCTGGCCAGTCCAATTCCCAGTCCAAGCATAACAAGGCAATGCCTAGTAAGCCGTTTTTGCTTGGACGAGCCATCTGTTCAGAAGACTATAGTCGACTGCCAGGAAATGCAGGTTGACAGACTTCCCGGGCTAGGGTTTAGATGAGTTTTTCAGCGCAGGACATCAAGAGCTTTGCATTGGGTGCTTCGTTTGCTTGAGATTTCATGGCAGCTGCTTCACGTCCCAGGCCGTGGTGGCTTCCGAGCCGAGCGCTCAGCAGCGGGCGCTGTGCTCCACGGCATCTTATGTAGGGATATGCAGGGAGAATCCAAGAAAATCGCCCCAACCCTGAAGGTCTAGGCTGTGTGGCTACTGTTGTCTGAAGACCGGGCCATGGGCCCGCAGTGCGGAGAAAGCCTGAAGGCCTGACCAGTGGGCCCACTTCGACGGCTTTCGTCAGGCAAAGCGGTGGGTGGTCTAAACACGCGGGTTGGGAGCGATTTGTGGGCACAGTTGAGAGCATCTTGGTGTGTTGTAGAATTTGGAAGGATTTGGATATGAAACCCCGAAAAACCCCAAAGACCCCAGACCCCAAGCCCAACAAAACGGGTTCATGATTATCCCTGGAGCCAGAAAGCTCCGACAAAATGGCGGAACGGCTCAGGTTGAGCTTGGGTTTAGGGAACGTGTGATTAGCACCCACCGCTTCTGAGTCCTGGGGGGCAAGGAAAATGAATTCCCAATGAATTCCACATCCTCCGAGGCTGAGTTTGTTCATATTCTGTAGTTTCAAAGCATCGCCGACAGTAGAGCAGTGCTCATCGAAAGCTGGAGCCACGTGCAGCGGCTCAGATGCTGCACTCTTTCAAACCCGCTTGAGAAACCCCAAGGCCCAAGGCCCAAACGAAAAAACCCAAACAGCTGCAATTAGGGTTTAGGGTTTAGGGTTTAGGCCTTCCTATAGACAAAAAAGCAGGAGCCTTGCTCACCGACACCCAGCCGTGGCTCCGAATTGTCAGGGCCCAAGAAGCGACAGGTCTGTAGGGTTCGAAGTGCAAAGGGCTTTTGGGGCTTCGATTTTCTATTTTCGGGTTTCGGGGTGTGCCTTCTCGTGGGCGGTTTTAGGTGCGTAGGGGGTTTTCAGGGGCCTCAGGAAAAATGGGCGCGCCTTCTGGCGTGAAGCCCCTTGAAACCCCTAACTCCCTAGGACCCTGCAAACCAAACTGCGCATGTCGCGCGGCCAAGGCATGGCGCCTGGGCCCACTTCGATGAGGAGCTTGTTCCGCGGTGTTCTTTGCTTGCGGCATATGTAGGGTTAAGATGGAAGGTGTTTTAGGATGCCCCTAGGGTTTGAGGAATCTGCTCCAGAGCCCGTGATCTCTGAAACCCTTTGCATATTACTAAAGCCCAAAAGCCTCAGAGGAAGCTGTGGCATGACACGAGGGTCGGGAGGAATCGGGAAGTCAAAGGCAACATGTACCGGTCTTGGGTTTAGGTTTCGGGGGGTTTGCGGAAAGGTGTTTGCATTCTTTGTGTGCCTTGAGAGCAGCCTCTCAGCTCGCAGAGGTGATGACCTACATTCTTTGCTCAGACTCAGACTCAGAGTGGAAGAAAATAAGCGCCAGAAGTGGCTTTCTGAGCTTGGTCTAATCGGGTCCAGAGGCTCCCAGCACCCACCAGCTGCGTGGGGTTTCGGGTCAGTTCTTGATTGCAGGGGTGGAAACCATAGCAGCCCTACATCCCCAGAACCCTGATGCCCTAAATCCTGAAACCCTCAAAGCCCTCAAACCCTGAAGCCACAACAAATATTCCCGAACGTCTAAAAGCCCCCCAAACTTTCCAGGAGCGGGTGAGGCCAGCGGAGGCTGCGGGTCCCTGGTCAGCTCTCGGGCAGCAGTCGATTCGGGTATTTGGGGTGTTTGGGGTGTTTGGGGTGTTTGGGGTGTTTGGGGTGTTAGGGCCAATTTTAGGGTTTAGGGGTTCTAGGGTTTAGGGATGAAGGTCGGGCAGCACTAGGGCATCGCATGCTCAGCAGAATGGATGCAGGGTCCTGCTTTTCTTTTCGGCCGTTTTCTTCGGGTAACGCCTTCTTGCGTTTTAATGAAAATTGTGCACCGGCTGTGGATACCGAGGCTCCCAGCAGTCCCCCTACGTAAGCCCCTGAACCCTAGTCCCCGAAGCCATCTGCTTCCTAGGCCTGGAGCAGCCCGACGCCCCGGTCTCGGCTCAGCGGCTTCTTATCAGGGCTCACCTTTCCTTACCCTCATGCAGGTGCATCGCAATGCTGTCTCTTGTAGACCCTCCACATGCCCTGCTGGCCTTTCCCTTGTGTCATGGTCCCACGGAGTGCCGCACATCGGCGTGCACTGCAGCGAGAGCCTTCAGTGCAGAACTACGCGAATGCCTTCGGCTGCGGCCTTTTGGGACCGAGCTTCGTCGAGGATCCGAGCGCCAGACTCCCCCCCAACCCAGGCACGAGCCTTCCACGGGTTCGCAGTCGCCGGTGTGCAAGGCGCAGGAGCACAGCGAGCAGCGTGTGAGAACTGTGTGTGCTTGCTGCATTTTTATGCACAATTGAGCTCTTGAAGTTCTGAAGGTTGCAGCAGTGCAGCCCATTAAAGAATCTGGGTTCGACACTTTTCGTTGTGCGGGCTCATTTCCGCAGGCGCAGCACCCGGTGAAACCGGATGTCTGGGCGAACGGAGGCCGGATTTGGCAATTCTGGGTTCTTGTGGACCATAGCCATAGTGCTCCTGTGGACACTCCATACACCCCTACTTAAAGCAAACCGGAAACCCTCACACCTACCAGAGTTTGGACCTCGGGACGAGGTGGCGGCTTTGAAGCCCGTACAGATGCCGGGTCAGCACACCAAGAATCTGAGAAGTGTGGGGGTGGGTGGATCCTGTCCGAGATTGTGTTCAGGGAAGGTGGAGCGTTTTGGCGTTCGACTCTTCTCTTAAGTCAGATTTGGGCAACGTGAGAGGGCTTGTTGAATGTGCCTGAGGTGGCTCCTTGACTCACAAGAGGCCCGGCGCTGTGGGTCTAAGGGGGGGGCTCCGGGGCTGGAGGCCGCTCTGGTATTCACGTACCCGCTTTCGGGGTTGTGCTGCAGGCTAACGACTCATTGCCAAATTCGTTTTGCAAGGATCTTTGTGCTTTCGGGGGCTGATTCACGGCGGAAGCAAGAACAGAATCCTGTCGTGCAGTATGCACATCCATCTGAAAGTTGATCTCGGAACATGGGCCCTCTAGACCATAGAAACGACATCTGCCACAATGCAGACGCATTTCTGCATGGAGAAGTTGGAGTAGAGTTCTGCTCCCTCGAGAGCCCCGCCTCCAAGAGGTGTCTACGTGGCCAGAAGGGGATTCGCCCCTCGGCAGCGTTGGAAGGGGCTGCGCTGGCGCGTAACCCAAAGCCCAAAGCCTCTAAACCCTACGTAAGCCCCAAAGCCCCAAAAAACCCACTCAATCTTTTCAAGCTTTCAAGCTTGTTCTTCGATAACCCGTGAGAGCGCTGCAGGTGGGCCGTGTGTCGTCTAGGACTACTGCGAGGATCTGTGAGGTTTTGCCCGCATGTTCATCCCTGCGGCCCAATCTGCAGCAACCCTCCCCCCCCCCCACCCCTCTCGCCTCCCTCTCCTGTGGCTTCGGGTATGCCGCCGCTGACGCGCCATCCGATCCTCTTCGGGAAAAACGCAGCTTCCAGCTTCGCTCACTTTATGGCCTTCAAGATTTGCGAAGGCGTGATGCACAGACATGCAAGACAGTCACCACTTGATCTCTCGCCCCTGAAGCTAGACTACAGACAGCCCTTATAATGGTCGTCAGGTTATCATGTCGACATGCTGAGCACGAACCTGGCCTTCCTGGTGTGGTTGGCAGCCCTTGTCTATGCCTTCACCACACCCTGGACGGCGGCTGACCTGACGGCGAAGGCCGGAAGTCTCATGGTGTCCGCTTTCTGCAATTTCTTTGCTGTGGCCACCACGCGCTTCAATGACTCCGGCTTCACCAGTGGCTTGTCGATGCTTCTGCCGCCCTTCTTCTTCTTCAGCTTCCTCGTCCTCCTCGCGGGAGCGCTTCCGACGATGCTCGTGGCAGGAAGCCTCGCGGGGCAGCTCCTGGCTTCGAGCCAAGGTCTCCTCGTCACACTTTTCCTCTGTGGCTTCCTGGCCCTCGCAGCCGTCTTCTTCCACGATGCCTTGGCCTGGCTTCCGCAGGTGGGCTACCTGGGTGGGGCTGGGAGCTCGGAGCCTTTAGCGCACCCTTTTGGCACCCTTCATTTTTTTTTGAATGCTTTTGAAAGCTGTGGCCACTTCGGGCCTTTCGAGTTTTCTTCGTTTTCTTTTAGGGCAGGCACAGGTTGGCAGGTTTCAGCAAGCAGAGAAACACACCTCGGAAGGAAGGCTTCGAAAGCTCGTACAAGCGCGCGGGCCTGCTTCCGGCGGCCTTTGCGGGCTCCTTCACGCATCTTGGCCTCCGAAACCGCGCCCCTTAAACCCCAAGGAGCCCCAAGGCAGAAAGCTTCCAGCTTCCAGCTTCCAGTGCCCCCAGTAGCTTCTAGATGATTCATGAGGCCTAAAGGAACGAAAGATGAGAATTCGGAACACAGTTCGGGAATCCAAGAGCTGCAGAGCTTCGCGGATTGGCACCTTCAGGATCTCGGTCACCTTCACGCCGCTGCTCTCAACCGCAAGCCTCCCCTTGTGGCAGACGGCCGGCCTTCAGGTGCGGGGGGGGGGGGGGGGTGCTTACATTCTTGGGGGGGGGGGGGGGCTGGGGGGCTGTTCCTTTCATTTTGGGGCAGCAAGCAGGACCACAAAGGGCCTGTACATGATCAAGCCGCAACTTCCCCAGGTCGTGGTGACGAGCGCTGCCCTTTGCTGCCTCCTACGCTTCGGCATGGGCCGGCACTGGCTGCGGATCCTCCTGCCTAATTAGCCACTGATGGAATTTGGGAAATTTCGAACAGCCAAACCCGACCCCCGAACCAGCGATGGAATATGCCGCGGGCATACCCAGACTCCGCAAGGAAGTCCATGGCACAGACCCCCAAGCACGCCCGAAGCACATCAAAATACCCCGAGTCTCCTCCCTTCGATGTCGGACAATGCCCAAGGGAGCTTGAAGGCCTTTCCAACAGGCGCGTTTATTGTTAGGTCGGTCTTTTGGGTCTTATGGGTTCCCCCATCTAAGAGCCGGCGACCACACAATGCAATCGACGACATAGATGGAAGATTTAAGGGCCCGCCCACAGCACCAACCCACAAGACGGAACCGACCCATGGATGGAATATTGGGTCAAGCGAAGCCGTACCCCCTCCTCCCCTCCACCCAAAAGGCTGGCGTGTACACCCCCTCTAACTCCCAACCATATTCTATCTATGGGGTCGAGAAGGCATCCAGATCTCGAAACATGCTCCCCACACATATCCTATCTATGGGGTCGGGAAACCACCCAGATATCGAGAAAAAATGCCATCCATCCCCCCCTCCCCTCCCGAAACCAAATTCTAGCGATCTAAAGGATGCCCGTAACCATAAACCCCTCAACTCCCAAACCCTTCTGAATCCCAAACCCTAAACCCGAATGGAAACGCTACAAATCCCCAGAATCCTAAAGTGACATCGCTGAAGAGCGTGGTGCCGCGTCTCGCTGTGCACCACTGCAAGCTTTCTGGTTTGCTGGATTGCAGGTGTGTGTTGATGGAATGAGCGTAGGTAGGTTTTAAGGGTTTAAGTTAGGGTTTGGGGTATCATCTCCCACGACCTCATAGGATCACAACATACAGTCGCAACCATTGCTTTGCACGTGCGGCTGCCCAGATGTACAGTTCGCGTTGCTGGCACTGCTGCATACAGTTTCGAGTGCCAGCATGCGGTATGGCACAGAGGCTCGGAATGCGAAACGCCATTGTAATTAGTGATCTGCTGTTATATATGTAGGCATGCACATGGGCAACATGTGTAAACGCGTCATGCGGTCCGCTGTGCCATACTTGGATACGGGCATGGGCCTCGGCAACCAGGAAAAGCTAAAAGAGAGAATCTTGAACACCTGCAACTTGTCCAATTTGCCGGCGGCCTTCGGGTTTGGGTGTGGCAGAGATTCTGACCTTTGTAGGCTTTCAGGGAGTTCTACATGTCAAGACGAGGGCGTGGGCCAGCTGCATGAGGTAAGAATGACTTCCGAGGTCTCGGCCTCTCTGGGATCCCGGCAGCCCCTCAAGGCCGAGGCCTGTGAGATGGGACGACAAAGGGGGGCTCTCGTTGCGCCGGGGGCGGGCGGGGGGGGGGGGGGGGGGGGCAAAGATGGGACAACTATGAGGCCCTTTCCTCTCCTCAACCCCAGCCTTAAAAGCTGCCAGCACGTGCATGAACGGCGTGAGAGCAACCTTGGCCGCCCCCCACACTCGGAAGGCCGAACGGCGCGAATGGTGCGTCGGCGCCGCAGAGCTCGGGCGCCCAGAGCTGGCCAGTTGCATTTTTGAGTCATAATTAGATGCATTCTCGCAGCATTTGCTGGCCCAGCTGTTCCGGCAAGGTCCCAAGGTGGCTGCAGTGGCTGCATCCGCTTGGCCAAATGCCTGCGACTCAGAGTCGCTGAGAGATGGCAATGTAGGCCCAATGTAGGCTGCAGAGGCGAGGTGGGGGTAGGGATCTGTCGGGACTGCAAGGCTCGACCGACTCGCTCCCCACAGCCCCTTAGGAATTAGAGCGAAAGCTGAGGCCACCGCTGGCTGTCCAAAGGCGGTGAGCGTCTCAAGACCCCCCATTTGTGATTTGTGGGGCCCTGTTTTCTTTGTTGAGGTTGCAGGGTTGCAGTCCGAGAGGCATGAGCCAGAATGCAAGTGAGACTGCTGTACCCTCTTTGCCCTGCTGGCCAAGACGGCTTCTGACATGGCGGTGGCCAGCTGGACTGAACCTCAGAGTTCGACGGGAGCGAGGGAGCCCGGCTGTCAGGCAATTGATGTGAGGTTCGGTCAGTCCGGGTGACGGCTGAGTTCTTTTGTCTTCTTGAACGGCACAGACACCCGTTTTGCGACCGCACACTGTAGAAGTGGACTAGCATCCGCCCTACTGCAAGCTAGAGAGTGGCTGCAGGCCCTGCGCGTCGCCGTGGACGAACACCCCTGCTGGGAGCAGCTTGTCTCCAAAAGCGCCCCCAAAACCTCCGCTAAACCCGATAAGCCCCTCTTTCCTTCCTTCTTTCCTTCCTTCCTTCTTTCCTTCCTTCTTTCCTTCCTTCTTTCCTTCCTTCTGTAAAAGTCCCTGTCCTTCCACCCAAAAGAGGGAAGGATCCCTCGACCTCCCCTGTCCAAAGTGGAGCCCGAGGTCCTCGGAACAGCGATGGCGACCTGGGAAGTCCCGGCCCGGCACTTGGGGGCTTGGGGGGAGTTTTCTTGAGAAGCCAATGCGGGGTTTCAGGGTCTCAGTGAGGATCTTGCAACTTAAGGGCTTTCGGAGCTTGCGCCCCCCCCCCCCCACATGCGAGATTACGGTAAACGATGGATGATGAAGAGAAGCAGATGGAAGCAGATCGACTCGACCTCGCTTGACTCAACTGAGTGCGGTTTCTGCCAGCCTCCGGATTCAGGCATTTCAGAAATCTCAGGCCCCGGAGCACGGAGGTGGAGAGTAAGCCAGTGGGCTCCTTTCTTTGTGCTTAAAGGCGCTGTCGTGCAACGGATGAGGTCGAGGAACCCGATCCCTAGCGCGCGAATGTTTCCGTTACCCTCAATGGAAACCCCTGAGAATTTGTCACAAGGAGGCGGTGTTACGGTGTTCAGGAGGTCCCACAAGCAACCTCCGACCCAACATGGCCCAGGGCCGAGGCGAATACTGTAGGGTTCCATCGTGCAGTTGGCCAGGCAGATCACCCTGGCCGGCGGCAAAGGCACGGCTGTCCCGAACCCAAGTGCCTCAAACTTACCCCCCCTCAATCCCCTTAAGCCCCTGAGACCCATAAGGTCCTTGTCAGACCTTTCTTGATTCTTCGTTCACTTTGCGAGGCCCCCTGGCCAACAGAGGACCGCAAAGGCCGTGGCAGTGCAAGTGAAAGCTGTCCCTAAATTGTGCCACGCAAAGTCCTTCTGGGCACGGCAAGTCGCCCTGCACATTTTGGGGCCTTGCGAACTTCAGTTCAGCATCCCACTCTGTTCCACAGCCCCAAAAGCCCTGAACTCTTAACCCTGTGCCCTTCAACGCCTCTAAGCCCCTGCGGCCCTCTGTGCACTTGAATCCCTAAACCTAAACCCTAAACCCGACACCCTAAACCCTTAGAAGCCCTAAACCCGACACCCCTTGGGCCCCTTTAAGCCTGCCTTTCAGCTCCGGCCGACCCATGGAGCGGCGTCAGCATCTCCCCTGCTGGCAGCCCGAAGGCGCGCGGGCAACGGGGGGGGGGGGGATCCAAAAGGTTTAGCCGGTTTGGGGTTTGGGGGTTTAGGGTTTAGGGTTTGGGGTGCTGTAGGGTTTAGGGTTTAGGGTTTAGGGTTAAAGAGCCTCTGGCAGAGTTCTTTTGGGATCTCCCTTCAAGGCCTCCTGACAAAATCAGTTTCGGGCTTGAAGTTCCAGGGTTTCGGGTTCAAGGCTTCTGCTTGAAACTGTAGGGATTCAACGTGTAGGGTTCGGGGTGTATGGGGTTTAGGAGGTTTTGGGTTTAGGGTGCAGGGAATCATCAGTTTAGGACTGAGATGAAAGAAAGTATGGGGTCCGAGTAGGCGGAATGTTATATCAAGGGTTCCGTTTTGGCATATGGGGGTTTACGAGAACAAGGGACCCCCAAGATAGACCCCAAATACGAGAACTCCCTTCTAAGAAGGACCCCTAATTTCGGACACCCCCCAAATCCATGACATGTGTTTTCGAGTTGACTACTGGTGCAGATAAGTTCAGCGCCAGAGTGGCGAGACCGGCCTACTTCGCCTCCGCCGCAAACTCTGAGCCCTAAAGCCCCAACCTCAAACCCTGAACTGAGGCATCTCGGTCACACGGCCAAAAGTGCCGCACCCAGTGCTTGGATGCTTTTTGTGGGGTCGCGCCGCGAAGATTCATGCCTCCAGCACCCCCAAGTTTACTGGAGAGAGGAGGGCTGCTGGCTTAGAATGTATTACTTGCAGGGGTGTTTAGAGGTGTCAGGGCTTTTAGGGGCAGAGCTTGGTATGGAGACTCCTGGGAGATGCAGCCCAAGGCCGGCTTTCGCATGGGCAGCTTTTGACTGAGATGGCCCTTAGGGCCTCCGCACCCAGAACAACCAAAACCCCTTAGAACCCCCCCTATCCCCCCGAGCCTGAGCCCGCAACTCTGAACCCCCGCAGCTCCTTTTGGGAAGAGCCCTGTGCCTCTTCTCCACGCTTAGGGCTGAGAGCCCAAGTTCTGTTGCGGCTTACCCCAATCTGTTTCCCAGAGGGGGGTTGTTCCAAAGCAGTCGGAAGCCTCTGCACCGCTAGTGAAAGATGTTATAGACATATATATATATATGCATAAAGATATATATATATATATATGCATATATATATATATATACACATACATACATATATACGTATATATATACACACATACATACATACATCCATACATCCATACATACATACATACATACATCTATATGTATATATATATATATATAATGTATCCCGCATACGCATTATGTATACATACCATCAAATGCACATGTACACTTTCAACATCTAGACTGTATGTAAGTATACGAAAATATGAACAACACAAGCTGCAAACAGGCAGAAAGAAGCAAGTACAAGTATAGATATAACTTCAAATGTACATACATACTCAGGAATATACCAAAATGTATGACTTCAACAAATTACGCATACGTTTAAATACAAATACACATGCACATGAAACAGACGTATGTACATGTGTATATATATATATGTGTATATATATATATGTATATATACATTTGTATGCTG